AGTGGTGCCTCGGTGCGCACCCGGGATCCGAACCCGGGCCGCCGGCAGCGGAGCGCACGCACTTAACCACTAAGCCACGGGGCCGGCCCACACTAAACTAGTTTCTATAAACATGGAAAGCAACTCAAAACTTTTTTCTTAGGGCCTTTTGAAATTTCGACCATTAAGATCTGGCTTCCAAAGAGACATGAAATTTAAAGGGCAATAGAGAAAGATGATTGTAGGAAGCAAATGGGTAAGGTTTTATCAAGAATTTTCTAACTAAACAAAAATTTTTTAAAATCATGGATGACAGATTGAAGGGACAATGTTCAAAAGAGACAAGCAAGAGAACAGAGAAATGCTCTAACTGGGGGTTCTACAACAATTAGGAAATCAAAAAGAAAACTCTGATTCCTGCCTAAGAACTCACAACTGCAAAAGGTACCTCAGAATTAGGGAGACAAATTAAGGCCTTGGGCTGGCCTGGTGTAAAGGAGAGCCCCAAATCTCTCCCCCTTCTTCTGCCCTTTGTTTTGCTCATTCTGAGGTTTGCAGGAACTGGGCAGGGAGGATACATGACTACTCATCATTATCAGAACTGAAGTGTGGAAAGGCTCACATGTACATTGGTTCAAAGTGACAACAGGAAGAAAAATCATGTTTCCAAAAGAGGAATTCAAATGTGAGCCACAGCAGCATCACTAAATACCAACAGGAAATAGTCTCTCAAAATACAGGAGCACTATAAGAGCCAAACTCATAAAAGTTCAGGTATGTTTGTTTAATTCTGATGTTTATATAACCACATTCCAAATTAAAGACTTCAAAGCCAGGTGCCTTATCTCAGCTGCACTTACTGTAGTGGGTGGTGAGGGGCACATGCTTAGCAAATGTTTGAAAACATACCTTGAACTACCTTGAAATGGGGACACTGACCTGAGCTTAAGTCTCTATGAGGTTTGGAGCTAGATTACATTCTTCACATAGTTACAGTAAATTGTGTAAGATCTTTAGCTTGAATTCTGCAGATGATTAACAGTCCTCAAGTGACCAAGAAAAATGTCATGTCTAGAATGTCTTAAAATCTTAGACTTTCTGAAACCATTAAATATGTTAAAAGATATTTTTGTCTAAATAATTTCACATAGTCCACAGTACTGGACACTATGAGCAAAATTTATCCTTATTGCTCCATAGATGAGATGTAAGCAAAGACAATGAAAAGTTATCGTTCCAATGTTTATGTACTTTTGCTAACAGTGGGTAAGGTCATTTAAATTATGTATAGTTTTTATACCTAATTAGGTATAAAATTAGGTATAAAAATTAAGTATAGGTATACGAGTAGTTCTATGCAACTTTGTTTATAAATAAGGCTTTCTAAAAGTGCTGTACACACTTCAAGCTCTAGCATAATTCAGAGAAACAGTTAAATATTTTCCATTTTTCATCCATTATTTCTACTGCTAAAGATTAAAATGAATCGGCGTGTTGTCTTTCCCCAAATGTCCTTTAATCAAAGAGTTGAAAATTAATAGCTCCAGATACAGATTAAGTGTTGGGTCATATTCAATTTATATGTGAGTACATAGTTTAGGGCAGTAAAGGTCATTATATAAGAAAAAAGAAAAAAGGAAGAGAATATAAAACATAACAGATTTCAAATCAATTTAATTAACCAAAAACAAGAGAACTTTCACATAAGGAGCAAAAACCTTAACATGACACATCCAGAATCCACAGATCAAATATGCGAAAACTAAACACTGAAGAGCACAACGCCTTTCTTTTTCTCAAGACTTAATCAGTTATATTCAGATAAAAACAAAACTTTTTTAAAAAGTGATTGAGATAAGAAATTAACTGGAATATTTAACCAAGCATCTTGAGTACAATTATCCTTTAAATTAGTCTTGCCTAAGCAAAGTTGCAAATTCTAAGATCTGATGATTTTCTTACCATTTGGGGTCCAACATTCACATTTATTGGTCCTAAAGTTTTTGGTAAAATCTTTGTTGGTGAGTTGGTGCTGGAAACTGGAAATGCAACAAATGAAATGTTACCTGAAATGATATCAAAACACAAGGTTAAGGTTCTGCAATATCAAGGCCACCTTCTATCTATCTGTACATCCATGGTCCTAACCCCAGTTTTGCTCAAGTGATTTATAATTATCTTAGTAAGTAATTTATAAACCTGAATGCTTACTGAAAAGTCATACTAACAACTGCTTTGTTGTAGTGAATATAATTAGTTCTGCCAAACAGAAATCTATAAAATAAATGGTTCAGTCTACTCGACAATTAACTACTAGATTTTCAGTTGGTTTTTTAGAGGGAAAAATATTTAGAGAACATGTAATGCAAATCATAGTTTATATCAGAGTTGAGAAATCCAGTTAGATCTTTATTAGGCATCATTGAACCAAAAAAAGGTATGAAGTATAATACAAAATATTTATACTAAAAGTTAACATATTTTCTTAATGTTGATTGGTAGTTTTTTGAGGTTTCATCATAATAGAGAAAAAAATATGATGCTACTTAGTGATGTTGGAAATTGTGGGATCTGCACAGTGTCTTCAAGTGATTGCAACACTTCAAATTTCAAATTAAGTTAGCAAAGTGCTACCCCCCAAAACAAAAAGCCAACCAATAACTTTCTGAACTACCGTTATCAACAACTTAACTCCTCAGGAGGAACTTCAATCTATCAATGTTTCTCTTAGAAGATAACAACATAATCTAACATAACAAAGAGGATCAACCAGGGTGTATGTGAAAGAGGGTCAATATTGAAAACTCTGAGGAAAAACCAACATTTAAGAGCAGGACTAGAAAGACACCTCCTTCCTTCTCAGTCTCCTTCGTCAGATGGTCCCCCTTCCTTAGCTCTTCTAAAGCTTGTCCATACTCCTTAATCCCCTTCTTTTACTTCCTAATTCTCAACAAATACTCATACCTCCTACAGTAAGGAAACCAGGCCATCAGGCTAGATTACAACTCTTGTTCCGCAACCTGTGAAATTATCTGCACTCTCATATATTTTTACATATATCACTGAGTGGAAATTCTCATATCTATTACTTTTTTCCTATCTACTCTGTACTTCCTGTCTCCTCAGGAATCTCACTTATCAATTATCTACTCTGTCTCCTGAGTTTTCAACTCTACCAGTGGCTCCTCCCCTTCAGTTTCTCTCTCTACTCATTTGCTGTGTATCATTTCCCCTCAGTATCCACAGTTTAAAATCAAATTCTTTATCTTTCTCATGCCCACTCAGCAAGGCCTGGTACCCAGCTCTGCTTCTCCTTCATGTTCTCAGTCTTGGTATATGACTGAGCCTTGGTATATGATCATCATGCACCCAGCAACCCAACCCAGAAATAATGAACACCCTCCTCATTCGACTGACACTATATCCTGCTTGTTATCTCCTCACCCTGCTTCCTAGCGCTGGCACTTGTTTAATTGCGAACTTTATCAAATCTGGTTTGAATACAGTTACCCTCCAGCTCAGAGGTTCACAACTGTGGCTGTGCGATGGAATTATCTGGGAAGCAATAAAAAATACCAATGGCTGAGCTCTACCCCCCGAGCTGCTGATATAATTGATCTGGAGTGAACCTGGACATCAGACTGTTAAAAGTTCTCCAGATGGTTCCAATGTACACCCAGGACAGGGCACCACTGCTCCATCTGGATGTCCTACTTCAAATAGCTTTCCTAGCTCCTCCACACATCTATAACAAACCAGCCTTTCCACTGGTGAAACTGTTCTGGACACTCCCTTACTTGAGGCCTTCAAAGACTCCACAGCAGTTCCTAAATGCCTCTCAGACTCCTCAACGGGGCACGAAAGTTCCTGTTTTGAAACCTCATCCCTGCTTCCCTTTCCAGCTTCATCTTCAGCTACTCCCTCCAAATGCATCCTACACTCCCATCAGATTAAATCTTTCACAGCTCCAGAGAGGCCCCAGTCCAACCACCCCGGCTTTGACATACACCCTTCCTTCTGCCGGGAAGCCTCTCTCTGCTGGGACAACTCCTACCTTCTAGCACTTCAAAACGGTATTGCATACCATTTTCTGAGTTACTACTATGTGCCAGAGTCTAGGCTTCCTATATACACATCATCTCATTAATGCTTAGGACAACAGTGTGAAATATATTACTACTGACTCTACTTTACACATGAAGAAATAGAGATAGAGTGAGGTCAAATAATGTGTACAAGGTCCCACAGCTAGTGAGGGCCATAGCTCCACCTTCAAAGCCCATGCTCTGTGTGTCGCCTTCTCCTTAAAAGCTGTCCCCAGCCTCTGTGTCTAGGTCCTGGATGCCCGGCTTCTTGCCTTTCATAAACCTAGCTTCGTTCACTTGTCGTTCTACTATAAGTGGGCTATGTCTCTCAGCTTTGTACCCTAGCACCTGGTTCAGGCCCTGGCACAAAATAAGTACACAAAACTATAAAAACTGTTTGACTGGCATAGATTGGAGCTCTTCCCTTCCCTAACCTGGATGCCATACTTCCTATAACGCAGCCTAAATTGCATATCTTGTTACTTTTTAACGGGTATCATATACTGAGTTTGTTTTTAAAACAAACTGAACAACTGGTATTATCAAATAGTTTCCTTACTCTGTAACTGTGCAATTGATTTTTTTTATATAACATGTATACCTTATCAATTGCTAAAGATTACGGTTATTATCAATACTCCCCTTGTTTAAGAATCCACCTAAGTGGAGAATAATAACCCACGATTCTAGTGGAGGGAAGAGCTTTGTAATTGGTAGACAACGTGCTGTAAACTCAGTCCCAGGCAGGAGAGGAACACACCACAGATCCATGTAAGGAGAACACAACCCTAAAAAAGTCTGGCTCTCAGATGGTTTTTGAAAATGACCTTAATGCTGCTGAATGTTTAAGATGAGATCATCTCTTATACAGTGTTAGAAGCAAAAGTCAAAAACTTCTTTTTGCTTAAGTATTTTTTGCTTAAAAAAATACTTAAGCAAGAAACACAAAGATAATTAAGGTTAGGGAACAGATTGACCCTAAGTTTAAATCTAACACTAAAGAAAAATTAGGAATATAAAACTTTGGTCGAAAACAAAAAGAAAAACATCATTAAAGCCAGAATTTAGAGAGAACTTAATAAATTTGACAAATTGATTCTAAAGTGTATCTGGGAAGACTAAAGGCAGAGAACAGCCAAGAAAATTTTGAAAAAATTTGGAATAATGGGGAAGAGGGGAACTTTGGCCTACATGATTTCAAAATTATTACATAGCTAAAGTGATTGAAATAATGTGATATCAGCTAAGAAGCAGATAAAGAAATTGATAAAACAGGAATTAAAGTCCAGAAATTGCTTCATTTATATACGAAAATTTTATGTACAGTAAAGGTAGCATTTCAAATCGATGGGGAAAGTGTGGATTACTTAAGAAACGTTGTTGAGGGGCTGGCCCGGTGGTGTAGTGGTTAAGTTCGCGCACTCCGCTTCGGCGGCCTGGGGTTTGTGGGTTTGGATCCTGAGGGCGGACCTACACACCGCTTATCAAGTCATGCTGTGCCAGGCGTCCCACATACAAAGTAGAGGAAGATGGGCACGGATGTTAGCTCAGGGCCAACCTTCCTCAGCAAAAAGAGGCGGATTGGCAACAGATGTTAGTTCAGGGCTAATCTTCCTCACCAAAAAAAAAAAAATGTTGTTGAGACAAGAAATTGTCCATTTCGATAAAAGAAACCTTAGATTTCAATTTGTCATCTCGCACAAAAATAAATTCCATAAATATAAAATATTTAAATATAAAAATTAAAACCATGAAAGTATTAGAAGAAATATAATAATTTTTTTATAATTTAGGAATGAGGAAGGCCCTCCCAAGCATGTTACAGAGTTTAGAAATCTTAAGTGAAAACAGACTGACAGATTTGACTACCTAAAAACAAATATTTTCTAAATAGCAAAAGACTCAATATACTTAAAAGACAAATCTCAGACTTAGTAAACAAATTTGCAATACATAGGCCATATGGAACAACAAAAGATCCCGAACAGCCAAAGCAATTCTGAGAAAAAAGAACAAAGCTGGAAGCATCACAATCCCTGATTTCAGAATATACTACAAAGCTACAGTAACTAAAACAGCATGGTACTAGCAGAAAAACAGACACACAGATCAATGGAACAGAATCGAGAGCCCAGAAATAAACCCACACAAGAATCTTTGGGTAGCTAATTTTCGAGAAGGGAGCCAAGAACATACAATGGAGAACGGAAAGTCTCTTCAATAAATGGTGCTGGGAAAACTGGACAGCCACATGCAAAAGAATGAAAGTAGACCATTATCTTATACCATACACAAAAATTAACTCAAAATGGATTAAAGATAAAGACTTGAATGTAAGACCTGAAACCATAAAACTCCTGAAAAAACATAGGCAGTATGATCTTTAACATCAGTCTTAGCAGTATCATTTTGTGTTTTTTTTTTTTTGCTGAGGAAGATTCGCCCTGAGCTAACATCTGTGCCAATCTTCCTCTGCTTTTTCTATGTGGGTCGCTGCCACAGCATGGCTGCCAATGAGTGGTATAGGTCCACGCCCAGGACCCAAACCTGGGCCGCTGAAGCAGAGCACACCAAACTTAACCACTAGGCCACGGGGCCTGGCCCAGCAGTATCTTTTTGAATATGTCTCCCTCAGGCAAGGGAAACAAATGAACAAAAATAAACAAACGGGGCTACATCAAACTAAAAAGCTTCTGCACAGCAAAGGAAATCATCAACAAAACAAAAAGACAACCTAACAATTAGAAGAAGATATGTGCAAATCATATATCCGATAAGGGGTTAATATTCAACATATATAAAGAACTCATACAACTCAACAACAACAACAAAAAACCAACCTGATTAAAAAATGAGCAGAGGATATGAACAGACGTTTTTCCAAAGAAGATATGGGGATGGCCAACAGGCACATGAAAAGATGTTCAACATCACTAATTAGTAGGGAAATGAAAATCAAACCACAGTGAAATATCACCTCA